GTCATAGGAAGGATGGTGAATAGAAAGGATTATTTCAGAAGGGTACAGAAGGACTCAAGAAGGAAAGTTGACTGCAAAGACACGCAAATACAATGTTCTGAATGTTGGTGCAGCATTCGTGCCGCCGCATGGTTGTCTATTCGTAACGGGGAGAAAGGAGAGAGGGTCTGGGACAGTCTGACTGTAGCCTGTGGAAGGCATGAGGCCTTCAATCCTACTCCTCTGCTGTTGGCTTGGCTGGCTTCCGGACATAGGCAGCAGTCTGTACCCGGCTCAGCATGGCTGGTTGCGCAGAGGCAAGTCAGGAGGATGTGGCTTCATTGACGTGGGGGGAGGCTTTGCTCGGAAGCGAGGGTCGAGCTCTCCTGAGCATGATAGTGAGGAGGCAGCGAGGAAGCGAATGAAATTCGCGTCATCCCGACGGGGTAGGCAGGAGGTCACGATGTCGTGGAATCCCTTGAAGCTGCTTAGAGGAGGAGGGAGGATCTTCTCCAGTGTGTTCACAAAGGAAGGGAACGAAGCCAAATACAGCAGGAGGGGGCGACCGCAGATCGGAGTGGACGTTGACTTCAATACCGCAGTCTTGATCGCCTTGCTCAGCGTCGTTCTGTTCTCCTTCTCCCTCCCTCTGCTGTGGGGGCAGGCTGCCACCCTATCCCAGTCCTTCTGGCTGAGCAGGATCGTCTTCTTCCGCATGCTGGGCCTCGTCTACTTGGTTGCCTTTGCTGTGGCCTTGTTTCAGAACAGCGGGCTGTTAGGAAGCAACGGGCTGCTTCCTGTCGACTTATACTTGAAGAGGGTCAGGAGGATGAACGACTGGCCGGAGCAGGGATGTACCTGGAACATGCTTAACGAGTACCCCACCCTCCTCTGGCTCGCCAAACCGGACCAAGTGGATCGCTGGATGTCCGGTATGGCAGCGACGGGGATGTGCCTGTCGCTTGCGGTCATGGTGGTTGGAGGGAGCAACGTGCTGGTTCAGCTGCTGCTGTGGACCATGTACCACTCGATCAACACGGTAGGACAGCGGTGGTACAGCTTCGGTTGGGAGTCTCAGCTGCTAGAGACCGGCTTCATCTCTATTTTCATGTCTCCCTTGCTCTGCTGGTCAGCTCTACCTCCTGGCTGCCCGACGCCATGGGTGTGCGTGTGGGCGATGCGGTGGCTGACGTGGCGGATCATGCTGGGAGCTGGTATGATCAAGATCAGGGGGGACTCCTGCTGGAGGGACTTGACGGTGAGAGGAAGAGGGAGGGGGCAGGAGCGCAGGCAGTGGAGTGGAGGTGTCAGGGATGACCTGCGGGATAGCGCAGAGGCAGGGATTTGAAGGATAGAGGAGGGGTTCGATGACGTGTGAAGGGTGCGGGGAAGGAGGGGATGAGGTTGAGCTAAGAAGGTTGAGATAAGAAGAGGCAAGAGGTGTTGAAAATTCATAGACAACCATCAACAACCTAGACCATTCAGTTCATACTCCTCCTTTTCTGTTCCTGCTTCTGCTTCTGTTCCTGCTGCTCCTTCTGCTTCTGCTTCTGCTTCTGCTTCTGCTTCTGCTTCTGCTTCTCCTTCTCCTTCTCCTTCTCCTTCTCCTTCTCCTTCTCCTCCAAAACCTCGCCTTGCTGCTGCTGTCGACGTCACTACCTGACGTTCTAATAGGCAATGTGCTACCACTACGAGACGCAACCAGTCCCCAACCCTTTCAGCTACTTCCTCCACTTCAGTCCTGTGTGGTGGCACAAGTTTGAGACTATGATGAATCACATTGTGGAGCTCCCCCTGCCGTTCCTGATCTTGCTCCCTGTGACTGCCCTCGTTGTGTTTGGGGGGATGGTGCAGATCTTGTTCCAGATTACTCTTATCCTGTCGGGCAACCTGAGCTTCTTGAACTGGCTGACTCGTGAGTTAGTGTTGAAGTTGTTATTGTTATTGTTGATGGTGATTATGTTGAAGTCGACGTTGAAGTTGAGGATGTTGTTGAGGCTAGAATGTCTCTTGCTCACCCATCTGACTTTGTTTTCAAGTCATTCCTCCCATCTTGTGTCTCAATGATAACTTCTTGAGCTTTCTGTTTTCTGCGGAGACTATCTCGCAGGTAAGAGGATGAGGAGGAGGAGAAGGCGTGGAGGGATGCGACGGATGGGGAGCATGAAGAAAAGAAAGGAGGATGAGAGGACATCGATTGATTTGACAATCATTTTTAGGTTCAAATGTTGAACAGTCAGGTTGTAAGCTGGAGTCCATTCACAATTGCAAGAGAAGGTCATGAAATTGCAATGAAAGTTGGCGGATGAAGATAGTGATGTCGACGATGATGATTGAGATGATGATGCTTCTTCGTCTTCTTCCCTGCTGCTGCTGCTGCTGCTGCTGCTGCTGCTGCTGCTGCTGCTGCTGATGATGATGATGACGACGATGATGATGATGATAGAGATGATGATGATGATGATGGCGATGATGATGATGATGGTAATTATGGTTCTCGCAAGCCAAGCTTTTGGTTCATGCTGCATCTAAAAGGACTACCTCACAGGCATTTACTTTGCCCTCTGCGCGCTTCTTGTTTATCTCAGTGCTCCTGTTGTTCAGAACATTCTCTCGAAGAATCAAGGTAATTCGGCTGTATCTCCTTGTCTTGCTCGTTGTTTTGCTCTTGCTCTTGCTCTTGCTCTTCCTCTTCCTCTTCCTCTTCCTCTCTGCCCTCGTTCTCCTCCTCTCACTAGCTTCTATGTTCAGTCATGAACACATCCTTCGGCTCTTGGAAGCTCCTCAACACCTATGGAGCTTTTGGCTCCATAACGAGAGAGAGAGAAGAAGTTGTGATAGAGGTTTCTTGCTCCTGCTCCTGCTCCTGCTCCTGCTCCTGCTCCTGCTCCTGCTCCTGCTCCTGCTCCTGCTCCTGCTCCTGCTCCTGCTCCTGCTCCTGCTCATCGTGCATCAGGGAACCTATGCCGATCTAGACGAGGAGGATGAGGAGAAAGTGGAGTGGAAGGAGTATCTCTTCAAAGTCAAGCCTAGCGAAACCTCCCGCAGACCTCCAGTACATTTCTCTCCTCCTCCTCCTCCTCCTCTCCGCCAATCTCCTTCTGTTCGACATCCTCCTTTCCCATTTCGGCTCTGATGTTGCTGCTGCTCACACCACGTTCTTCATCTTCTCAATTGCTTTCTTTCTTCCTCTCTTTCTCCTCATTTCTTGCTCTGATTTTCTTTTGCAGTGGATCTCTCCATATCACTACAGGTCATCATGCTTGTTCTTGTTATGTTGCCTCCTCTCTCCCCTCTCGTCTCCTCTCTTCTATTTTTCTTTTCCTTGTGCTCCTCTCCTTTCTCCTACTCCATTATCTCCCTCTTGCCATCTGCTCTCACCTCTTGTCTTGTCTGGTCTTGTCTTGTCTTGTCTGATCTCATCTTTCTGATCTCATCTTCTCTCATCTACTTGTTCTCCTCTCCTCCATTCTTATTTGCTTCTCACTCAGGCTGGATTGGCTCATGTGGTTTCTTCCGTTCTCGGACCCAAGACGAAACCCATGGTAATCTTTTGATCCTCCCACCCCCATCCTCCTCCTCCTCCCCCTCCTCCTCTTCCTTGATCTTGTCCTTGTGCTTGTCCTTGTGCTTGTCCTCGTCCTCGTCCTCGTCCTCGTCGTCCTCCTCTTCCTCTCGTCCTTTTCTTTTCTCCTCGCCTCCTCCGCCCCCCCCCCCCTTTCCTTTGCTTCTGCTTGCTCTCGAATGCTTTCTCCCTCCTTCTTTTTCTTCTTCATCCTGCGCCATCCTTCCTCTCCCTCTTCTTGTTACCCCTCGTCCTCTCCAACGACAACAACTTCTTCCTTTGCTGCTCACCTTCAAATTTCCTACATCCCACCCTTTGGCTTTTGACTTTCCCTCCTTTCCTCCTCCTGCCTTGATCTCCTGCTTTGCCGTCTCTGAGATGTCTGCAAGGCTTTATCATCTCATAGGAAAATTCCTGGACAACGACAAGAACGTTCTGCGTGAGTGTAACAGCATCTGCAATTCCTTGTTTCTTCCTTTCCTCTTCCCTCTCCCCTCTCTCCTTCTCACCTCCTCTTCCCTCCTCTCCCTCAATCCCGTTGTTATACTCTCCTCTCCTCTCCTCTCCTCTCCTCTCCTCTCCTCTCCTCTCCTCTCCTCTCCTCTCCTCTCCTCTCCTCTCCTCTCCTCTCCTCTCCTCTCCTCTCCTCTCCTCTCCTCTCCTCTCCTCTCCTCTCCTCTCCTCTCTTCTCCTCCCCTCTCCTCTCCTCTCCTCCCCTCTCCTCTCCTCTCCTCTCCTGTATTTCTGTCTTGTCCTCCTCGTTTTCTCTGTTTACCTCACCTTCGCTTTATTCAGCTCTCATACGACACAATCCGTTCCAAGACGCAAATCCCCCGAAGGTCCTATCCTGATCTTTCCTCCCTGTCGCTCCTCCTCGTTCCCCCCCGCCCCCCCGGCCGTTCTCCTCTTCCTCCTCTTCCTCCTCTTCCTCCTCGTCCTTCCCCCTTCCGTTTCTTCCCTGCTTTCCTCCTGTGCCATTGTCACCCTACCTTATAACCTTCCTTCTTCCTATTCACACTCACAGTTTTCCTTTTCTCCTTTCCCCTCTACCTCCAATCTCATCGTTAGTTCCCTCCCTCCTCCCTCCTCCCTCCCTTCCTCCATTTCTTATCAACATCTTTCAGTTTGTCCGCGCTTCCTTGTATCTTTACGAGTATGCTCCTCCTGGCTCCGACGCTGCTGCTCGAGGTTTCTCCTCCCTGCCCTGCCTTCCTGCCTCCCTGCCTCCCTGCCTTCCTGCCTCCCTGCCTGCCTCGCTCCGTTCCCCTCCTCCCTCCTGGCTCTCCCGTGATTCTTGCGCAGGCGAGTGGTGGATCAGGAAGCGCATCCGAACGTTCGTTGAGCCTCTCTGGTACTGTCTCGTTCTCTCCCTCCTTCCCTCTACTATCCCTCCCCTCCTTTCCTCCTGCTTCCCCTACCTCCTCTTCTCATCCCTTCCCCCTGCCCTCCCTTGCCCTCCCCTGCCCTCCCCTGCCCTCCTTGATTCTCCTCTTGTAGTCTCGAAGATCTTCGGCCCATATACCGACAATTCGGATGGAAATTTCCTCAATCCACCTCAGTGGTACTCGTTACGTCCTCGTCGTCCTCTTCCTCTTAAATCCCTCCCTCCCTCCCTCCCTCCCTCCCTCCCCCTCATTGATCTCTTCCTTTCTCTCCTTTGCAACTTCATGATCTCACCTCCTCCTCAAATGCTCTTGACTGTTTCTTGCAGTAGACGGATAGACCAAGACGCTAAAAGCACGAGACAAGGAAGAATATGTCCAGTCTTTCATGAATTTACCATCTTCATCCTTATCCTCATCTACATCTTAAGACTTCTCTCCTTCCTCTTCACTCCTTCATCTCCATGAACTCAGCGTAGGTCTCAACCTCTGCTATGTCCCCCTCCTTGAACTTTCCCCTGCACAATTTGGTCAGCTAACTTCAACATCCTCTCCGTACACCCTCTTCCTCCTTTCACATCACAACCTCCTCCTCCTCCACCTCCTCCTCCTCCTCCTCTCCCTCCTCTCAATCTCTCCTTCCCTCCTCTTCCCATCTCCTCCTTCTCACCTTGGTACGACTCCCTCATCAGAGCCGTGCATCTCCAAAGCTTGTGCCATGAGCAAACTCTGCAAGTCAACCAACAATGTCAGCAACCGATCAGATGGAGATCTTGCTGCAAGGACGGGAGGAGTGACAGAGGAAGGAGGAAGGAAAATACGAGGGGGGCTGGTGAGATGACGATAACTAGCAGGAAGGAAAGGGGAAGCGAGAGTGGATAGAGGAAGCAGAATGAAGGGAGGAGGGAGGGAAGGAGGAAGAGGAGGATGAAGATTTACCTGCTCAACGTTGGTGATCAAGGAGCAGGAGAAGTCTACGGCGGAGCGACGGAGGACGTAGAAGAGCTCAGCCTTGCTGTGGCTGGAGAACGAGGGGAGTGAGAAGACGGCGGACAGGACAGAGAAAACTTCACCTCATCTCCAGCACAAGCTTGATCTTGCCTTCCTTGATGCTTTTCACTGCTGGACTCTTGAGGCGATTCTCTCCTTCTTTCATCGCATGCTCCAGCTTTGTGAAGCCCTGCACCCCCGTCACCTTCCACCCTCTCCCCTATGCTGTCTCCTCTCCGCTCCTTCACTCTCCTCTCCTCTCCTTCGCTCTTCTCTCCTCTCCCCCTTGCTCCTACTTCCCCTTTCCACTCCCTCTCCGTGTCTCACCTTCACTCCCGCCTTCTCAAGGATCGCCATGTCTCTCTCCCCGCAGTACATGTCGTAGCCCAGCTTCTGCCAGCTCTTGACTGCCTCCACCGCCTTCGCCTTGCGCCCCTCGCCCTGCCTGTCCTCGGGCAGAACCACGTAGACGCCTTCGCCAGGGGCGGCGATCTAAAGCGAGGTAGTGAGCGAAGGACGAGCGAAGAGAGGAAGGAAAGTAGCACAGGAGGCTCAGAGAAATTGGAGGAGGAGGAAGAAGCAAGAGGGGAAGAAGGAGGTGGAGGAGGAGCAAGAAGAGAAGGACGAGGAAGATGAGGAAGAGCAGAAGAGGAGCAGATAGTTACCTTCATGTAAGTAGACTGCAACGCTCTGAGGTAGGCGCCGTGCTTGTTCTGATGGAAGCAAGCGACCTCACCTGCAGTACGTCAGTCGAGGGAGGGGAGAAAGCAAACAACACGTGAGGAGAGGAGAGGAAGGAGAGGGGGAAAGGGGAGAGGAGAGGAGCGGAGAGGAGAGCAACGGAAGTGGAGGAGAGGAGGAATGAAGAGGTACCAGTTGAAGACATCTCAACGCCGAGAGTTGGGTCAGCTCCTGGCAGGCGCTTGAAGGAGAACTGAGGGACTTTGACGCCCACGTAAGGCAGCTCCTGCTGCTTGTCGCAAATCTGCAGCCAAGTAGGTCATTATGAGAAGGAGAGACGCAAAGCAAGAGCGAGGGATACAGGGAAAGAGAGAAAGGAGAGGATAGAACGAGCTTGTCTCAGCGTTGGATTGTTCAGATCGGATGTATCAGCACAATTCATCTCTGATCAGGTTTGACATCTCCGACATGCTCTGATGGTAACAGGTTGAGACATTCTCATCACCTCGAGCGCGTTGGCCGGCGAGTGACCGATGATGGCGCGAGTAGCGAGGGAAGTCATGTCGACCTGAAGCACCTGGAACAGCGTGAGGGTGAAGCAGAGTAGGACAAGGGAGACAGGAGAAGGAGCAAGGGGAGGAGGAGGAGTAAGAGCAGCGTGAGGAGAGTCGGACAAGGGAGTCAGGAGAAGGAGCAAGGGGAGGAGGAGTAAGCAGGACAGCAAGAAGATGAAGGGCGTTTGTGGCATCCATGACGAGAATGGAGCAGAAAGCAAAGTCGTGCGACTGTCTCGCTCGTCACCTTGCTAGAGAAGGGAAGGGAACGAGACGCTCTGACGTTGGTCTCAATGACCTTCAAAGACCCGTCGGGGCACCACAAAACCTACACCAGGAGTTAGGAACAGAAGGAAGCAAGGAGGAGGAGGAGGAGGAGGAGGAGGAGGAGGAGGAGGAGGAAGATGAAAAGTGGGTGGAAGAGGAGAAGAGGAGGAAGAGAAGGGGAAAGGAGGTAGAAAACGTCACCTGCATGTTGAGAGGTCCAGTGATCTCGAGCCTCTCGGCGACCTTAAAGACGATGTCGCGGAGACGGAGGAAGACATCCTTGGGCATGTCGCGGGCCGGAAGGACGAGAGAAGCGTCTCCAGAGTGGACGCCACCCTGAGTCAAGAGACGTGAGAAGAAAGAGGAAGAGGAAGAGGAAGCAAGGACGGAGAGAGAACTGAGAACAATGAGGAATGCAGGTGGTGGAATTGGTGGAGAAAGGGGGAGGAGAGTAGGAGTGGCAATTGAGGATGAAAGGAAATGGCCAGCATGAGCAAAGCATCGAGGAGAGAAGAAGGAAGCTGCGGAAAGAAGCAGAAGGGGAGCAGAAGAAGAGCAGGTGAGGATTGAGCAGGCTCACCTGCTCGATGTGCTCAGCGATCGCATACGCGATGACTTTTCCCTTGTCAGCAACAGCGTCGATGTCCACCTCCTCAGCTCCCTCGATGAACTTGGTGATCACCACAGGGGCATCTGCTGTGTGATCAGCCCGGTCCTGATCCCCGTCCTCCTCCCTTGAAGTCTCCCCCTTCCCCCCTCTCCTTCGTTCTCCTCCTCGTCCCCCACCCTTCTCCCACTACTTGTTCCCCCTCCTCACACCTTCGGACACTTCAACTGCCATGTCAAGGAACTTCTTGAGCTCTGCCTCGGAGCGGACGACATTCATCGCTGCTCCACTCAGCACGTAGGACGGGCGGACTAGCACGGGATATCCAACCTGAAGACGCGTTAACCACCCTCCTCCCAATACCATCACTCTTCCTCCTACTCTTCCTCCTCTTCACTTTCATTCATCGCGTTTCTCCTTTACATCTTTCCATCCTCACCTTCCCCATTTTCCTCCCTCCCTCTCCTCACCTTGTTGCAGAACCCTTGAGCCTCCTCAAAGGTCTTGAGCTCCGACCAGGCAGGCTGGTCGATCTTAAGCTCGTCGAGCATTGCGGAATGTTTCTGCCTGTCCTCAGCCCCGTCGATCATCTCGGGGGTAGTTCCCAGCACGTTGGCCCCGTTGGCCTTGAGCGGGAGGGCAAGATTGTTGGGGATCTGTCCTCCGAAGGACACGACAGCTCCGGTGCAGCCCTCGACCTCGTAGATGTCGAGGACTCTCTCCAAGCTCAGCTCCTCGAAGTAGAGCCTGCGTGTGTGAGTTAGAGCTGGGGAGGGAAGATCGACAGGTGAAGAAGGCTAAGGAGAAAGAAGAAGAAGAGGAGGAGTACAGCAACACGGGAAAACTAGATCACAACAAGCCCCTTGACCTCAACCTTTCTCACTCTATCCCCCAGACTTCCCCTCCCTCCCCCTCCCCCTCCCCCTTCTTCCTCTTCATGTTCACCTGTGGCTCTCATCGAAGTCAGTCGACACAGTCTCCGGGTTGCAGTTGATCATGACGGTCTTCTTGCCCTCAGCAATCAAAGTGCGCAGGCACAGCACGGAGCCGTAGTCAAACTCGACGCTGCTTCCAATCCTGTAAGTCCCGCAACCCACAACCATGATGCCATGGTCGTCGAAGGTAACGTCACTCTCAGCTCCGTTGTAGGTCATGTAGAGATAGTTGGTCTGAGCTGGGAACTCGGCCGCAAGGGTGTCAATCTGTTTGACAACTGGAGTGATGCCCATCCCGATTCTCAGCTTGCGGGCCTCAGCCTCAGAGCAGCCGATCCTCTTGCTGATCTGCCAGTCGGAGAAGCCAGCCTTCTTGGCCAGGAGCACCATGTTCTTGGGAACCGTCTCCTTGTTGTAGTTGCAGAGATCGTTGGAGAGGACAGCGAGGTACTCGAGCTTGCTCAAGAACCATCGGTCAATCTTGGTGATCTCGTGGATGCGGTCGACCGAGTACCCAGCGTTGTAGAAGGCGTCGGCGATGGCGTAGATTCTGTTGGGAGTGGGACGGGCAAGCTCCTCGTCTCGCTCCTCGTCCGTGAACTTGGTAAGGGGCTCAAAGCCCTTCCAGGAGGAGTTGACCATCCTCATGGCCTTCTGGATGCCCTCGGTGAAGTCACGGGCAATAGACATGACCTGCAGGAGGGGATGGTGAGATCACTACCAGGAAAGGAGGAGCACGAAGAGAAGGAGGAGGAGCAGGAGGAGCAGGAGCAGGAGAAGGAGGAAGAGGAGGCATGAGGAGGAGGCAGGAGAAATCTCACCTCTCCAACCGATCGCATCTGGGTTCCAATCTGCTTCTCGACGCGATCGAACTTGGAGAGATCCCATCGTGGGTACTTGACGACACAGTAATCGAGTGAGGGCTCGAAAGCTGCAGTGGTGACTTTCGTCACTGCGTTAGGGATTTTCTCAAGCTCGATACCTGCAAAACAATTCTCAGGGGGGAGAGGAAACAAAAAGTAACATGGAGAGTTGTTTTTAGATACGTCAATCACGACACTGCCTGTCCAGCAATCGAGAAACAAGAGCACCAACACGAACAAGAACAAGAACAAGAACTCGTACACGAACAAGAACTCATCCAAACAGTCTGTCCACAACTCACCAAGAGCAAGCTTGGCAGCCACAGCAGCAAGAGGGTACCCAGTAGCCTTGGAGGCAAGAGCGGATGAGCGGGAAAGGCGAGGGTTAACCTCGATGATGCAGTAGTCCTCTGAGTCCTTGTCCAGGGCATACTGGATGTTGCACTCGCCGATGATGCCAAGGTGCCTGATCACCTTCACAGCAGCCGTTCTCAGCATGTGGTACTCGTCGTTGGACAGAGTCTGCGAGGGAGCGATGACGATGCTCTCTCCCGTGTGGATCCCCATAGGGTCAAAGTTCTCCATATTGCAGACGGTGACGCAGTTGTCGTAGGCGTCGCGCACGACCTCGTACTCAGCCTCTCTCCATCCCTTGATCGACTTCTCCACAAGCACCTGCGGGCTGGAAGAAAGAGAAACCTCCACAAGTCTCGTCAGCTGGTCTTCGTTGTCCGCAAACCCGGACCCGAGGCCGCCGAGGGCGAAGGCAGCGCGCACTATGACAGGGTAGCCGATGTTCTTGGCAGCCTCGAGGGACTCCTCGAGGGTATTGCAAGCAATGGAAGGAGCGAGCTTCTCCCCAATCTCCTCCAGCTTCTCCTTGAAGATGTCGCGATCTTCGGCAGCAATGATTGTCTCCACGGGGGTTCCAAGAACTCTGACCCCGTACTTCTCAAGCACTCCTTGCTTCCAGAGCTCGACGCCGCAGTTGAGGGCGGTCTGTCCTCCGAACTGCAAGCAGATCCCATCGGGGCGCTCCTTCTCGATGATCTGCTCGATGAAGGAGGTGGTCACGGGCAGGAAGTAAACCTTGGAGGCGACCCCCTCCGCAGTCTGCACGGTAGCGATGTTGGGGTTGACAAGGATAGTCTCGCATCCCTCCTCCTTGAGGGCCTTGATAGCCTGCGAGCCGGAATAATCGAACTCTCCAGCCTGACCGATCTGAAGTCCACCAGATCCCAGGACAAGCACCTTCTTGTTGCGGAAGTACGGGCCGGTCTGATAGACTGAGTCCGCCTTTCCGAACCTCTTGTACTCCCTTGCCTTGTCGATGAAGCGCTGGAACAAGAAACCAGTGTCTTCCGGTCCTCCACTAGCCTCGGGGTGAAACTGAACAGAGAAAAATGGCTTTGAAACATGCACGAGACCTTCGTTGGTGACGTCATTGATGTTCACAAAGTAGGGCTTCCACTCGGGAGGAAGGTCTGTGTGGTCAACAGCATACCCGTGGTTCTGAGGAGTGATGTAAACCTTGACAAAGAGCACCCGTCAGCGTCTAGCGACAATCTCAGCACAGAGCTTGCTTGCCTACCTTGTCTGTAAGCATGTCCTTGACTGGCTGGTTGTGGCCACGATTTCCGAACTTGAGCTTATAAGTCTGCTCAAGTCGATCAGCGGCCTACCTGGCGGTCACGAGCAGGGACTAACCTTGCATCCAGCAGCACGAGCAAGGAGCTGGTTTCCCAAGCAGATGCCGAAGATGGGAATGTCCTGCTCCAGCGCCCACCTCAGGTTGGCAACGGTCTCCTCGCACATGGCGGGGTCGCCGGGGCCGTTGGAGATGAACAACCCGTCGAACCTCTCCTTCTTGATGTCCCAGTTCCAGGGAACGACAGTCATGCGCACTCCGGCAGCGCAGAGAGATCGGATGATGTTGTACTTGATGCCGCAGTCGATCGCCAGGATGTGCACGTCGCCGGAGCCAAAGGTCATGGGAACCTTGGTGGAGACGTGAGCAACGAGGTTGAGCATGTTGGGATCGCTGAGAGGGACATCTTCCTCCATCACGATCTTTCCCTTCATGCTCCCGTGCATGCGCAGCTTCTTGGTGAGCGCACGGGTGTCAACTCCGTACATACCAGGTACGTTGTGCTCCTTGAGCCATTGAGATAGAGTCTTGTCGGCGTTCCAGTGAGAGGGGAGGTGGCAGTAGTCCTGGCAGATCACAGCTGTGACCTGCACACGATCACTCTCCATGCCCGAGGGGAGACCAAGCTCATCGGGCGGCGAGTGCTGCACGCCGTAGTTACCCAACAGGGGGTAGGTGTTGACGAGGATCTGGCCCCGATAAGAGGGGTCCGTGAAGTTCTCGACGTATCCAACCATACCAGTGTTAAAGACGACCTCCCCTGCAACAGAAACTTCGGCTCCGAAGCTCTGCCCTGAAAACACAGACCCGTCCTCGAGCACCAGCGTACATTTCCTGTCGGTCCTCTTCGACACTCCTGAAGTTCCACCCAAGCCTCCTCCAAGGTCGATGGGGCCCAAGTGACCTGAGGATCTCTGCACATCAGAGAAGCTTCTCGCTTGCACGCCGAAGATAGAATGGCAGCTCTTCACCCGCTCCTGCTTTGCCGCAGAGGGAGCTGCGACTCTAGCAAAGGGGAGAAGTGAACGTGAGGCGGTGCGGCCGAGCCCTCTCAACGAAGTGGGCACGGCGTTCAACATCCTGAGCAGCCGCGTTCCGCCCTTAGATCTCGAGTCCTACCTCAGAGAAGGAGGGCGACAGAGGAAGCGGACAGGAGACGACTCGCGGTGCAACGGTGCTCACGGGTTGCGAGATGGAGGCTGCTTGCGGTCCAGGGGAGCACGCAAGGGGGGTGGGGTATCCTGTGGGAATTAGGGGGGGTTGGGGTATTTACAGTACCGGTGGAGTCTTACATTTCGGTAAGATTCAGGGTAGGGGTTATATGATTCTGGGACAGGATGGGAGCATGGGGGGTACTATCGTATTTCTGTGACCGGTGGTATGTGATCCTCAAAGTAAAGCTGATCTTTAAGATGGGTAGGGTCCTTCTAAAATTTTCTGAAGGGGGTGGAACAGGGCCCAGGTACCGTATGGAGGAGGGGGTGTCCGGAATAGCTCAGGAAACACTAGTTGGGTGGGGATTAAGTGCAGAAAAGATTGAAATTAGGGGTAGGGGGTACTCAGTACGGGTGGTATTGGACGTATAATATTGAGAAAACAAAGGGTACACAAATTGGCAACGGGGTGTAAACCAGGACAGGGGGTCCATCGTCAATGGGTAGGGTACTGTCGTGGGGAAACCTAGGGTTCATGTGCACATGCAGGTTTGTGGAAAAGAAATTGGTTGTCCCGCTGTAGACTGGTCGACGTGGTGGGTGACGGTAACAGGGGTGGGTGGTGGATTTCGTGAAGGGATTTCAGGGGGTGGGTACTTTATGTATTCTTTGTCATGGGTATGACCTTGTCCTAGTGTCAGCCATATCCAACAACGATGCTTACGATTACTTAACAAGGTGATATGCCGTGGGTGGTCCGTACAGATTAAGAAGAGGGTGGGGTGGGGTCAAAGAAGAGCGGTTGGCCAAAAGGGGTAGTGGAAACATCTGTATTCGGGGTACTTGTGAATCATAGGGTGGGTAGAGGGTGGGGGGTGGGGGGTGCACGAGGAGAAAAAAAGAGGAGTTGTTATTTTACAACTAAGAATATAAAATTGATATAGGGAAAAAATGTACGATCAGATGGAGAAGCGACCTAAGTATTGTATCTATATTCTGCAAAAACTATATATGTGTTCATATATAGTTTTACCTTCATATGAAATAAGTAATCAATTTTTTCGGCGCACTAAAACAGATAGATTTCGAAATTTTAAAAGTATGTATGGTGCACTGACAAAAAAGTTGCAAAATTTTAATGATTGACAGTGCAACCTGCAATGTACCGGTACTATCCAGCCCATTGGATGGGCAGGAGTGGGTGGTACTGCATTCACAACGTTATTTTGTCAAAATAATTGTGCAAAGCGCACTCCAAGGTAGCACCACGCAATAATGCTGACTCATGGTGACATTGAGTAAACATTTTTGTATCGAACCAGAACTGCCCGAAAAATGCAATCCAGCAGAGCAAATGATGCCATGTTGCAGGAGCGACAACGACGACAAGAAAGGGCATTTGACCTGATAGAGAACAAAGTCATCGCTGATAGTACAAAGAAAGTTTACCGATGCAAGATCAATAGGATCGTGCGTCTGTTACTCAAAGTGAACCCCAGGGCTGTCGACGAGGACGGCGAATTGATACTCCCAATGGCATGGAAAGATTTGAAGAGTTTGTTTGGAGACCTTGTCACCAATACTGACTTACCAAAATCTAGAAGGACTCCCGAAGAGGAGGTCAAGAGCAGGAAGAGCAGGAAGAGCAGGAAGGCTAAGTCACATACAACTTGATTATAAAGAATAATCCAGTACTGATTTGTACCAGTTTTGGAAAACACTCATCATGATTTGTACCGTCCTGAAATGTGTTCCTTGTACCAATCTTTGTACCAAAATATTTAGTCAATATCTTTAAAACTAGTGCTATAAGCTGTGCACTCACAACAAGGTCTGTTTAACTTATCTCAGACAATAATCATTTCTTTTAGCTCGGGTTCAGCCTCATCCTCAGTTTACGGTTCAACTTGGCCAAATTCGCCGCCGACCGGACCGTCACTGAGATGCCGCAGTGCCACGCTTCACTGTCGGTCAGTAGGACGGGCCTGAGCCGGCGGGCCGGGCTGCCACGGGCGGCCGCCGGAGTCGGAGTTCCCGAGTCCGGGCTTACTAAGTTACTAAGTTAGGCGGCCCCGCCGGGCCCCGCCGTGGCGTGACCGTCCGACTCCGGCGCCGTTACACCGTCGGGCCCTGGCCCGGCCCGGCCGAGGGCCGCCCCGGGCCCAGTCTGGGGTCTTGGCCGACACAGCTCTGCTGTGCCGACACCAGTCACTGAGTGCCGACTCCACTGCCAGGCTGAGTGCGGCCGACACCGGGCCCGGGCCCCGGGTGACCCGGCGGCACTACGGTCAGTACCGGCTGAGTCACGGCGGCGGCCACCCTGATCGGACCAGTGCCGACCGTACACTGCCGCGCCGACCCGGGACCCGGTGACCCGGCCGCCCGGCGGCCGCCGGGCCCGGTACCGTCGGACACATTCAATTACCGACCCGGCGTGCAGCGGCCCCCGAACCCACGGCCATCATATGCAGCCTGGCCGCCGCCGGGGGCCCCGTCAGCGGCCGGGCGGCCTGACGGGCCCGGGATGACCGTGACTGAACTTACGGGGGCCGCGCCAGCGGCCAAGACTCAGGCCCGGCGCCTGAGGGACTGAGCCTGTGACTGACAGTGAGGCCCGGGCGGGGCCCCGGCCCTGAGGAGCCTGCTGAACGCTGTCGGCTGAGCACTCACTGACTCCTGGGCTGGCTGTACTACGGTATGGCACTGAGTCACCGTCGGCTCAGCGGCGGCCAGCGGCGCGGCGCCCGCAGTGACCAGGCTGCCGCAGTGTCTGACCGTCTCCGGGGCGGCCGGCGGCGCAGTCACAGTGACGGTGCGGGGCACTGCGGCAGCCGGGCGGCACCGTCGACTCCGAGTCAGTGACCGACGGTCTGATCGGACCGCAAGTGACCCCGACAGTGAGTCGATCATCGTCGGATGCCAGGCACACTGCGGCGCCCCGCGGCGCCCGTGCCACTCAGGCTCCGAGCCCAAACTCGGACCCGGGAACTTCGGAAGCGGCGCCGCGAGTCGGAGCTGCCAGTGCGGCGCGCGGCGGCGCCGCGCCGGCGCCGCGCGCCGCAGTGCCCGGTGACTCGCCCCGATCGGACTCACTGAGACTACGACTCTGAGTCTCAGCCTGGCAGGGCTGACTCCCCGGAGTCCGGCAAGTCACTCAGCGGCCGCAGTGCGCGGGCCGCTCCGAGTCTGCGGAGGCCGCAGTCGCCACGCGGCCGACGGTTCCGCCCGGCGCGGCCCAGCCTGTCACGTGAAGTTCCGATTCGGAAGCGGCACTAACTTCCAAGTTCGGAAAAATGAACTTCGGAAGGCCGCCCCCGGAGTCCGAATGTAGCAACAATGAGCCTGAGTCCTGGCACCGCCGGTGACCGTACTGAGATCCGACTCGGCTTTTGTGGCCGCGTCCGAGCCACAATCGATGATCATTGCCACTGAGGACTCCGGGAGCGGCCTCAGGGCCGGCGGCCGGGCCCCGGCCCCGGCGTCCGGGAACTTGGAAGTTTCAAGGCCCGCCGGGCACTGGCAACGGCCGCCGCAGTGAGGGGCCGCCCGGGCCGCCGCCGGGGGCCGCCGGCCGGGCGGCCCTAGGAGCCCGGCGGCCCGGCCGGCGGGAGCCCGGCCCACGGCACTGCACCGTCCGACGATCGGATCGGACCGTACGGCCCGTTGGCTGGGCCCGGGCCGGTGCCCGGCGGGAGCCCGGGAGCGGCCGCTCCGCGCGGGCTGATCGGACCGTTCGCCGCCGGGCCGTCTGTGAGTGCTCGTGGCCTGCGCCAGCCTGCCGGGCGGCCGGCGCCGGGCGTCCGACGGTCCGAGTACGGTCGTCGCCGAGGGCCGGGCGCGGCTGACGGGCCGAGTTTCAAGTTTCAGTGACAGTGTCGGCCGCTGTCCGATCTCCGCCGGCTCGGCGAAAAAATTAACGCAACTTGCACTAACGGCCCGGCCGCTGGCGGGCCGCCCGCCGTTCACTGACGGCCCGTTTGGCTCGAGTCGGACCCCTGATACTCAGCGTACGGTAAGTTAACTGAGTTGAAGATCGGCTGAGCACCGTACTCTAGGCGTGTTCGGTACGCCAATTCCAGGTCAATTCTGAATTCTCAATTGTGGGCCACATTTAAGATTTCAGAACGCGCGCAGAAAACGTGTTCGGTATTGCAATTTAATAAGTCATGTTGTAAGATAATAGTAACATTTTAAGATTCAAACCGTGCCCTTGCTCCCATCAACCATGCCGATTCAGCGAGACACGCCACGGATGTATGGGAGGCGCACCCTCCTCTACCATTTGGAGAAGGCTGTGGTCAATCGCTCATCAGCGCGCATCAGGCGGATTCTCATGCTCACGATTTGGCAGCATTCACGGCAGAGCATGTGGCTTCTTGGCATGGGGGTTGGTGATGCATTGTTTTGGCTGCTTCGTTCACGTAGTCGGGTGCGGAAGCTTGTGTGCTTGTTGTCTATGATGGACATGAACAACCGTATCGTCAATCTGCCCTTTCAGCGGACCGGATCGCAGGGACCACTGAAGACGCCAGATTGCTTCTCGCACGTGGAATTCGTGCAGCAGTTCCGTTTTCGTAAAGTACATTTTCATCGCATTCTGCGATGCTTGAAGGATGATAACGGGCAGCCAATGATGGTAGGGGACGAACCAATCTTGTTGAAGTTTGGAAAGCGAGGGCACAGGACATCCGTGCGTGCAGACTCAGCTTTCATGATTTTCCTGCGACGGCTGTCATATCCTGCGCGGTGGTGCGATCTGGTATATATTCTGGGTGGATCCATCACAGTTCTTTCCGAAACTTTCAATCACATGGTCAGAATCTTGCACAAGAGGTACGCTATCTTGTTGGCAAGCATGCGGCCTTGGAGGCATCGATTTAGCCAATTTGCTGCTCACATGCGAAGTTCTTTCCTCTTGCGATGTTCATTTTCAACATCCACACTCTGTTTTATGGGAACCAGACAACAGCATACTTCGAAGGGGAGCACATGGTGCTGGATGTGTCTGTGGAGGATTACCTGTCGTTGGCAGATGAGTTTCAATAAAGAAAACCTCTATCTCCACCATGCGCTGTTCCCCATCCCCCTTGAATTGCATGGCCGCATGGGACAGTTCAGATGGCTCTCCCACGCCTAGTGCATGAGGTCCTTCATCGCCTGTTCCAACACGTAGTGGAGCGCCGTGGGGATCTTCAGCCTGCATAGGTTGCTGTGGAGTGCCGTGGGGATCTTCAGCCTGCATAGGTTGCTGCCATGGTTGATGCGCGCGCGATTGGTGAAGACAAGAATTTGAAATTAAATTCGCGTTGTAAGCTCGCGGTACATCAAATTGGCCTCTGGTACAAATTATTCATCGTACATTAAATGGCCTCTGGTACAACAATTTCATGGTACATTAATTCGAAAAGCTCTCGTTTCAATAGTCGGTGGAAATGCAATTGTGGGTGTATTCCACCAACTTTTGAATTTGCAATTCTGGGTCCGAGGTCCCATATTTGCTTTACTCAATTTTTTGATGTACCAGCATTCCACCTGTAATTGGCGTACCGAACACGCCTACTGGGCCTCAAATTTACGGTGAGTCAAAGTTAAGTTAAAAATCAGTACGACACATGTCGTCGCACTGCACTTAACTTTGAGTAAACATGATCAATGATGATGGCCAGCGACCCGCCGGATCGGATTTAACCGGTGTTTGACCAGCCGTGGTCAAACGCCTTGCAAAAGGCCCATGGAGTCAAAACCCTCTCGGTACGTGACCATTGGCCAGTCATAGAGATATGTTTTTAAGATTTGTACCGGGAACAGCAGCCTATAACCACTTTTAGCCTGCAGGGAGTAAAAGTCAGTTTTTCTTGACTTTTGACCCCTATCCTTCCCTTGTTTTTTTAAAGCTCTTTCACGCTCCCAGTCAGAAGCCCTAGTATCGCTCCCCTCTCCCAGCCTCTCCACCGCCTCCTCCTCCCCGTTGTGCTTGTCGCTCATATTCATCTCCTTCACGTTTGTCTCCTCCTTCTGTGGAATCCCCTCAATAACTTCTCTCTTCTCTCCTGCCTCAGTACTTCTCTCCAGCACATAGGTGCCTGCCCGGCATGCAGTTGACTCAGTTCATCGACCACCACATCTCCCGCCCCATCTCCGCCAGTCTTCTCCATCCCGAGGACAGCCGGGACCTGCTGGAGGAGGATAGCAGCTTGACCCTCGAGCGTTGCAAGGACTCCCCGAAGCTGCCTCCCCCGACGAGGTTCCGCAAGGGGCAGAGGCAGCAGGCGGCTGAAGGCACGGCGAGTCAGTCGAGCAGGCGGCACTACAGACGGGAGTGGAGCAGGCAAGTAGGGAGGCAGATCATGGGCTCTGCGGACATGAAGCGGATGGAGCTGGAGAGCAAGGGAGGGTGAGAGGATGAGGGAGGGAAAGGAGGAGGTCCTGCGTCAATACATAGAGACCTCAAACAAGCAGGAGAACAGGACGCTGAGGGCTGGAAGGCTCAGGGATCTTCCTTGGTGTGTAATTATTCATGTTGATACCGCAACCAATCTCGAGTCTGCAAGGCTTGTGATCTGGATCGCTAGGAATTGTGCTGAGTGAGCGAGGTCGACCAAGTGTGGGTTGATAATGAACTTTTCTTACATGATTGTTGATTGGGCAATGAACACGTCTCGATATCATTACCAGCCTCACTGTCAGATGGATATTTGTCCAGTAGGCGGAATTGATAGCCCTGTGGAATCGTATCTTGGATACAGACATCCATTGTTTGTGTCGGATCTGAACACCAGTCGATGGATCAACTTCAATGGCTCATTCTGACATCCCAACAAAACTGATCGACGGCACAAACTTGGTCTAGAGTAACTCTATAAAAGGTGGTCAAGAAGCGAGAAGTGATCTTGGCTGTCTTTGAATCTGCTCTTTGATTGCTGACACGCAAAGATAACGCTTCTGTATGCTCGTTTCATCATTGTAATAGAAAAATACTGAAAGAGGTACAGCAAAAAGAGGGGAAGACAGATATGAAGGTCTGGAGAAGATGATGACGGTTGAGGGAGTAAATACCGTGAGACTGTTGAGAATGGGACTGAAGTATCAACACATACTGCAAGGTATTAGCCCTGCAAACGGAGATGGTGGGCCCCAGGAGGAGAGGAGCAAGGAAAGGAATAGAGAGCTTGACTGGTTCGGGGATGGGTGGGGCTAACATGTGCTAATATTGTCCATCTTATAAACGGTGTTGGACTACAGCAACGAGTACCGGCCCAGAAGAATTCTCGCTGCTCTATGCTCAGATCTCTCTTGCTTACAAGAAGATGCTTGATGGGTGACTTGTCTTAAAGGCGGTTCCAGAGAACGCGCTACTAGAGTCTCCTAGTCTTGACGCAGGACCTCCTCCTTTCCCTCCCTCATCCTCTCACCCTCCCTTGCTCTCCAGCTCCATCCGCTTCATGTCCGCAGAGCCCATGATCTGCCTCCCTACTTGCCTGCTCCACTCCTGTCTGTAGTGCCGCCTGCTCGACTGACTCGCCGTGCCTTCAGCCGCCTGCTGCCTCTGCCCCTTGCGGAACCTCGTCGGGGGAGGCAGCATCGGGGAGTCCTTGCAGCGCTCGAGGGTCAAGCTGCTATCCTCCTCCAGCAGGTCCCGGCTGTCCTCGGGATGGAGAAACTGGGGGAGATGGGGCGGGAGATGTGGTGGTCGATGAACTGAGTCAACTGCATGCTGGGATGGAAGAGAGGAAGAGAGAGAACCGGAGGGACTAGAGGCTGAGCGAAGACAAGAAGAGCAGTGAGAATGTAGAGAAGCAGGAGGGGGAGTATACGTTTGGCCAGTCAAACTTATAGTAGTATAGACTTTATTTTAACATCAGCAAGCCTTGCGACACCTGATCTCATGACACGGTCACACGATCAGTCACGAGACGTCAAACGACCCTCGCATCTCCTTTGGCTTGACAAGCCTCGCGTGTGGCGTGTTGACAAGCACGACGAGTGAGTATGCTGATGCCGATGGTTGAAGCTGTCCCCCTCACGCTTCATGCTCGTCCCTCCCCTCTCGTGGACGATGAGGAGCCTGGCTTCCTCCCCTGCCTGCCGCTCATCAACACCAGGTTCGAGACTCCTCGTCCTCCCCTCCTCCGCTTCCCCTCGCCTCCCTCTCTTCCTCCTCCTCAGCGATATCGATCGTCTTCTCGCAGCCGCGGAGACTCGTGCTCTGCTGGTCAACCTCAGCCTTGTGCCATGCTGTCGGCAGAGCTGTCGAGGCTGCGAGGGCTGCGGAACCGACAGATGGGGCTGGAGATGAGCGTCGGGTCGGAGGCGGGGAGAGAGGTTGTGCTGAGAGTGCTGGCGCTGGGAAGGAGATAGGGCCGACCAAGGGAGACGTCGAGGACCAGACACAGCCATTTATAGCAGATGGAAAGGATGGGCTGATGAACGACGGAGCTGCATGGAATGTGAGAACAACAAGATTGGTATTGTTGAATAAAACCCGCGGGAGCTGAACAACCAAGAGGTTGTTGCCTTACTGCAATGAGGTTGTCAAATGAACCTCTGCTTGACAGAATCAACAACTCTGCCAGCAATCGTCCAGCTCCATCTGTCATTGACCGTCAAGGTCTTCTCATGAACTCAGCTCCTCCCTCTCCTGTCATGCTGCGGCGGCAGATCTCGAGGTCTCTTTTAGAGATCTTCTATCAAGTCTGCCATGGCTGCCGTTAAGCTGACGAGGTAGGCCTGACTTCCTGCCCAACCTCACAATACCTCTTGTGTCCCCGCACGTCACGGTCCATGAACAAGTTGACGGAGAAAGTCAGGTAAGGACAACAAACTCCTGCCTCTCTACATGGTGTTGTAGTCAGACTGACTACAGACGATATCATGAGCTCTCCCTTCGAGGTCAATCTACTGCTGCTCGGTAGTGAAGCATCTCAGCGACGAGCTCAGCGATCATGATCTATTCGAGAAGCAGTAAATCAGCAAATAACCTCGTCCCAATCTCCTTTTGCTTTCCGCATCCCAATCACTTGTTTTGTTGCTTATCATCAAAGAATGACAGGCAACTTCATCTGTTGTCCTCTCCTTCAATTCCTCCTCTCATACACAATCTCGTTGACTATTGGCAATCACCTCGTACCCAGTCCCATTGCGCCCTTGCCTCAATTCACGACGCCTCCCTTGGTCCGCCCGATCGCCTCCCCAGCGCCATCAGGCAGCTATTCCCCCGCTCTGATATCTATACAGAGAGAGACGTTCCTTGCTGACATCTCAGCATCAATTCGTTGTCATCTTTCACTGAGCGCGTGCATGACCCGTCAGCAGAGTCTGCTCGCGCTATCTTGTGGTCTCGATGCCGTTGGACTGGCCAATGAAAGGACGAATGAACTCTTTAATCAAAACAACCATCCACAAAATGATGCCGGATCCATCTTCGGATGACCTCAGCACACTAGACGTATCCGTGCGACCGATGATGCTGCCTTACTTGATGCCGTTCAAGGCCATCATGCCTTGTCTCTGGGGTCCTTCATGTACTACATACATCCTCTTGGTACAACGTGTCTAACTGGAGTTGTTGGCCATGTGTCGCGGCTCCCTCCTACCGTCAGCTGTCTTGTCAGAGAGCCACGACGTGGAAAGGTATCTCCCTCCTCGCCCCCGGAGCAGCGCGCATCTCCCGGCCTATCTGTCGGTTCCGCAGGGCTCGCAGCCTCGACTGCTCTGACGAGGGCAGGGGAGGTGCTTGGCTGGACCGCTGGAAACGACGAGGAGGAGGAAGAGAGCTCGGACATGCGGTTGTCGGGGCCTCGAATCTAGAGTGTATCCTCGGCATGGACCACCGCTCCTCGTCTCCGGGGCAGAGTTCCACCTGGAGGTGGAGGCAGTCCCCAGCTGAGTCCTGCTTGCTCGAGATCTCCGCGTGCCTGTCTCGCGAGGCCATCTTGTTGTTGCTGGGGTCAAAGGTCGATGTGGACATACCGATGGAGGTCAGGGCTGAACCAGGAGCAGGAGCAGGAGCAGGAGCAGGAGCAGGAGCAGGAGCAGGAGCAGCAGGAGGCCGTCGGCAGTCAGTGGGCAACACGGAGGTGTGGGGTGTGGCGAAGTGTATAAAGAGGGCAAGCGCTTGCCTTCTTCATAGAGGGCAAGCACTATGACTCAAGAAGGCAAGCGCTTGCTGTTATCACTGTCATCTTATCGCAATCAAATCTCGAGATCAAAATAATAGTCTTGAAGAGGAGTGTTTTCGGTCTCGTCTTAAGACACGGGCTCAGCAGTAAACTGCACATGACTACCTTTGCCCTCCTATGCCCGTCTGAGGGGCGAGCTCGAGATCAGCCATGCTTTACAGGAGTGCGCCGTCACTAAGTTTACTGCTCGTGGGGCGTCAGCGATCTAAAGATCTAAAGACTGGTTCCTTTTGCCCTGGCCCGGACTCGAAGGTCCGAGACTCGATCATAGTTCCTCGTACTGATCTTTAACTTAACTTTGAGTAAAGTTACGGTTAATAAGTATGTAGATGATCACCGGATCTGTCACAGCAGTGGCTCACGGGCTCCCACAAGGCTCCGCCAGAGTCACGGGGCCCCGGAATACTACCCATCTCCGAGTCCCCTCCGACTCGGAGTCCGACTCTCCGACTCCGATGACCGTACGGTCATAGCGTTGACATTTTGATTTGTCTGTTTTGGGCTGTATGCTTTCCCGTGGGGGGGTTGTTCTGCTTTCTAGGTAGATTTGGGGGTGGCGTGTTTGAGAATCTGAAATAGGGTTCGAATTCAGCTTTATAATTCTCATTTTGTTTTCCAATAAGATATTTTAGACTGTATTGTGTAATGGTTGAGTATAAACAGAGAAGTAGGGCTACACCCCACAAGTTACAGTCAGATCGTGGGGTAGTCTACCAACTTAGTTGTAAAGCCTTCTTGTGGTACAAATTTATAAACAAGTTTGAAACTCCCCCTACACGCCATGAGCCTCCCCTTGCACGGGGCACGTCGCACCGCTCTGTACTGCCCTAACGATGGCTCGCAAACAGCAAGCCCGCGGCAGCGTGTGCAGATGTCAGATGTTCACCGAACATACTCATGGGAAATTCCTGAGGTGTAGAGATGATGATCCTTGAGGAGTGCTTGGTAGAGCTCGTGAATCTCACGAAAAATCGTTTGGTAAGCGAAGAGCATGAATAATACAAGTGAAAACACCATCACAGGGTTACATTGCAATCGAAACCAAAGCGTAAAATACCCTAAGCTATCTGTGATGCATGACAGGGAAACTGAGTTGGAGTAAATGGATGGAGGTTACACACAAGACGACAGGGAATCATCATCAGATGGTGACTGGATTGTTCAAAAGCTGTACGGTCACCTGTGAGCTCAAGAACACATATCTGCACGACTATGTCTGATAGTCTCGCAAGAAGATGCCAATAAATAATGCACGGTGCATTTTAGCAGTGAGCTGCTCGACTGCTTGAAACAACCATGATCCGCAGTGCTGTCGAATGATGTCGGACAAGCAAGTCCCGTGGTTCGTGAAGGATTCTTCATCTGATTTTCAAGGACGTGTTTGAACGATGAAACATTTTGCAAATCACCAAGGCCTAGGTCATTTCATCACATGATGCATCATGTGAATATTACTGGTGTGAACTTGCATCGGATTTTGTTCATCAATGAGCCGCTGCCAAGCAGATGATCTCAACGCAAACATGAGCACTTTTGAAGATGCCAATATTCCAGGCCGTAGAGCATGTATGATGTGGCCACATGTCACATGCTTCTTGGTTCACATAGATACACCTTCGCAAGGCAAAAGATGGAACGTGTTCTTGATTACAAGGAGGTCGGTTGTGCTTTTACCCTGATTGAAACTCTTCTAATAAAGATGTGATACCCTGGATGTGGAATTCTATTTATTGATTCACAGCGTTTGTGATCCTTTTACAATCACCGAGTGCTTGTTCTGTTGAACAAGGCACTCCTCTGTAGTGCCACATGCGACAAGAACTCTACAACTGCACGGCAGCATTGCGAACCGTCAAAACAAGGCAGGATTGATTCGAAGAACATCTCATTTATTTTTATTGATGCTCAAATTTATCTGCACATTGTTTCATTTCTGACTAGGTTTCTGAAGCGTTGTGGAAACATCATGACTGAGGAAGAAATCCAAGTGCAGAAAAATCATCCTACGTCATGAAACATGGAAATGCAATGGTCAATGCACTTGATCATGGATATAGTGATTCATGATCAACAACAATTCTCTACAGTAATCTATGCGAGCAGGTGAAGTCATCCTTTTTGCAAACGTCTCTTCATGCACCGTTGAACTGTTGAGTGCGTGTGAGCCTGTCCTCTGTAGAAAAGTGAAGTGCATGAATCCTGACCGTAAGACTAGAAGAATTGAAAGTGAGCGATGACATGAGAACATATTGTTAGACAGAAAAGTCGCTCAAGGTACAGTTGAATACAAATTTCTCACAAATCATGCATTTGAGCGCAACGTGCAACGCACTGCAATTTGAAAGAAGGGTCAATCAGAGTTGATTCTGTTCAATGGTGTATCCATTATTAGTTCCTTACCTGTTCATAAAAATGTCATCATGTCTTCGAAGCATATTTGCAAGTACACTCGCGGATTGTATGAACCAAGGGCACATATTACATTACACGCTGGATGATTCAAACCTTGGCCCAACCTGCAGAGTTGAGAAAGAAGCTCGATCATCTCTTACAGATGTGATATGAGATCTTCATCTCATTCCTATCTCAGTTGGGTTGGATTCGAAGTCTCTCAATATCAAGGTTCATCCTCGCGAGTCAGGAAGGCACCATTTCATCGCCTCTTGCTCGTCCAGGGAGAGGGGGCTTGGGGAATGAGAAAAGGGGGCTACCCCCCACCCCCTATTACACAGTTTCAAATTGTTTCAAAGGTGGGTGGTTGAGGGTGCTCCATGCCTACCCCACCCCCCAACAACAGTCAAATGGAGGGGTTCTCGGAAGTCGAAGTTCCGACCAGTTTGGCCCTCATTTTGTACCATGTAAGAGCTGCAATTTTAAGTTGGTACCACAGATACTCCTAAAATGCGTACTTTTACATTGGTTTGGCGTGGTGAGGTGTCCACGCCACCAAATTCAAATCACCCTACCCCTCTTTGGCCCTGCACAGCAACGATTTTCATGAGAGCGACTACCCTCCCACATGACTTCTCAAAGGAGGGTACTCCCAATTGGCATGGAATGAAGGGACCCCTCAGGTCCTTCGAAAAAAAAAAAATATTGCCAATTTTGCCTATGAGCGCCCGGCCGGAAAAGCAACGCTATGCACGGTCGCCGGGCAACTGCCGGTGGGGTAACCGTGACCCTACCAGTCTCTCACGCCACTGCTCGCCGCTCACCGTGGGCCGTGACTGCGGCGGGGAGTCCCGGCCCGGGACCGGCGTCACTGAGTCCCCGGGGACCCGGCAGTGACCCGGTACAGTACCAGCGGCCGGCGGCCGTCAGCCGGCCGGTCGGACGGGGGCAAGTTCACCCGAGAACTGAATGATTGTCACTGCCGTCCACCGATCCGACCGGCGTCGCCGGCGGCCGAATGATCAGACTCTTATGATGATGCGCGGCCATTTCCGGGCGCGGCGGGCTTCGGAGTGACCCGCCGCGGCCGGGCCCGGGCCTGGCGGCGGCGGCCACGCCGGGCCGGGCCGCGGCGCCCGGCCGCCGGCTGGGCGGCTCCGAGTCCGACGACCCTAGTTGAACTCAATTGATTATGCGCCGGGCAGACGGTCGTGATGTTAAAAGAGCTCAGTTTGCACTGTTTGTGTACCCGTTCTACCATGTGCAAATTCATATATAAATGGGGGTAGGGGTACTACCATTTTCTGCCAGGTCCCGCGGCAGGTGTTTGGGAAGGATGGGTATATGAGTCTACCCGTGTATTTTATAACAGATATGTGGATATTTATAGGTAGGGTAGTACCAGTGAGGCTCTTCAGGAAAGTCACATTTTTTTCCTTGGGGTGGGGTGGTCAGTGGAAGCCGGAAAGAACGGGTGTAATGCGAGCAATTAGGGAATGGTGGGAAAACAAAGGGAAAGGAAGAGCAAGAAGAGAACATGATGTAGTGAATGAGGAGGAAAACATGAAAATGTTCAAGATGCACTCATATGGGTGCGAAAGAAACCTGTTAGATATCGAATTAGAACAGCAGACCTTAGGATCTTAGTTAACTTTGAATTTGTATGGATGGTTTTAGCAAGATTCCTCACAATATGTTGAGAGGTTACAGAAATGGTCTAACCATGTTTCCTCCGTTTATCCAACATTGATAACCTACCGTTCGGATCCTCGTCACAGTGATGTGTCCCATGCCTCATGGATCCAACAGCTGACCTTGTCGCGTTTTCTATGAAAAACGGCCATTAGGGAATTCTGACGGGAGGCAGACAATCATTAAGAGCGTCTATTCTATGTTTTTGCTCTGAAACATGTGTCAATGACAGAAAATGGCGACGCAAGATATCGATGCTGCTGTTAAGATGCTCAAGAACACAGTTGACATCATTAAGGTACAACAAACATGTATGCGACTCTTTTGGATGCTTCTGTGACATCTGCCCCCTCCTTCACAGGCTAACCCACAGCTCCTCCACACTCCGCAAATGAAATTCTTCAAGGAGTTCATAGGTCGAGCAATCACTGCCTACTTGTTTCTTGCTGTCAGCTACAAGTCTACGATAGCCCCTGATTGTGCCCGGAGCAGAGAGCTATGGCGGACATGTTCCAGATCCTGCTGAGCAGAAGCAACAGGATAGTGCACCGAAGGTGAGTCCTGATTCTAGTCCCTTGCATGCCCTGCTGCAAGAACGACCGTCTCCCTCTCCCTTCCCTCTGCCTCCTCTGCCTGCTGCTGTTATCGCTGTGCTCTGAGACCGAAAACCTTACTGGACTCTTACCGCCGTGGATGGATCCTGACTCTATGCTGTTGCAGTCAAGTGGAACGGCTCGAGGAGGATCCAAGGTGTCTGAACGCTGCGAGTGCTGTGAACATGACGTTTTTCTTTCAGCTCGATGACATCGATGATGAACCAATGCCACAAGTAATCCTCCTCAGAGTCAGTCAGTCAGTCAGTCAGTCAGTCAGTCAGTCAGTCAGTCAGTCAGTCAGTCAGTCAGTCAGTCAGTCAGTCAGTCAGTCAGTCAGTCAGTCAGTCAGTCAGTCAGTCAGTCAGTCAGTCAGTCAGTCAGTCAGTAAGTCAGTCAGTCAGTCAGTCAGTCAGTCAGTCAGTCACTCAGTCACTCAGTCACTCAGTCACTCAGTCAGTCAGTCAGTCAGTCAGTCAGTCAGTCAGTCAATCAATCAGTGATTAATATGATGTTTCAAAGGCTTCTTCGTCGACTGCTGGTCCCACTGTTGAAGAGGTCAGCGACGAGGAGGAGGAGGTAAGAACCTGTGACAGAACCTTGATTGCATTCTGATGTTTTTGTTTTTTCCTTAGAAGGAAGAATTCGACCCCGAGGTCGTTCCGCATGATGAAGCAGATCTTCCGGAGAAACAGGTTCACCCAGCCTGCTGTTCCTGACCTTGTGTCTGGCGCTTGCTGTCTCAGCATTGTTGCTTGTTCCCTGCTTCTGCTCTTTCTTCCTACCTCCTTTCTCCTTGTTCCTTCCCCCTTCCGATCCTGTCTCTACCCTGCTCAAATCCTCCCTCTTCAACTTCTTCCTCTTCAACTCCTCCCTCCTCCCTCCTCCCTTTTCCTGCTTTTTGATCTCGATTGGCATCTTGTTCTATCACTCACCCTTGTTCCCAAAGAAAAATGGAGATTCTTCAAAAGAGCCTTCCGATCAAGACTATGAAGCTGCGTCAACAGCTAAAGCTGCTGCCATGGTGCTGCGCGCTGTCCTCTACCACCGCCCTGTTCTCCTTCCTCCCCTTATTCATCTGCTCTCATTTTTTCAAACCCCGGCACTCTCCCCTTGACATTGTCATTGACTTTTTCCACTAGGACGCTCAATCGGCTGGTGATTTTGACAAGGCGGCAGATCACTGGACGGAGGTCAGGGGAGCGGGTGAAGACTTTCGGTCCTGACCGGCATGACTGAAGGCCGTGATTGCGACTCCGAGCGCGATGGTGTATGCGAACAGAGGCCTCTGCTACTTGAGCATGAGGAAGCCGGTGAAGAGAGGAAGAGATTCCAAGGGAATCTGACGTGTCGCCAGTTGGCTGCTCTGCGTGATGCGGATAAGGCGCTGGAGGTCAATCCGGACTCAGCCAAGGCCCTGAAAGTAACCTGCTACACAAACACAACACTCAGATGCTCATTCTGCTAGGCATCCTCTTAGTTGATCTACTTTCTCTGTTCTGATTTCTCTCGCTCTCTCTCCTTCGTTCAATCAGTTCTTCTTTGCCTTCTCGTTTCATCTCGCCGCTGCTCGATTTCTTCTACTCACTCAGAGATGATAGCTCAAGGGAAAGGCATACGCCATGCTTGGCAAGTGGGCTGAAGCTGCGCATGAGCTGGGACAGGGACAGAGCATCGACTACGACGAGGAAACGTACGCAATCGAGAAGAAGGTGAAGGAAAAGGTGATGCATCTCTTCATTGCGCACAATTTCTGTTGATTTTGTTTAATCCTGACAGCATGACAAGCAAATTGTCATTGAGAATCACAACAAAGAAAGGTTTGTCTCTATGCCAGCAGTTTTGCTACTATTCACGCAAGACCAGGCGGCTCAAGAAGGAGAAGGAGAGGCAAGAAAAACTTCGACAGCAAAGAGAAGCTGGCGCTGGTTTCCCTGGTATCTGTTACCTCGATCTTCTTTTGTACCTGACTGTCTTCTTTCAGGTGGAATGGGCGGCATGCCGGGCATGGGCGGTATGCCGGGCATGGGCGGCATGCCGGGCATGGGCGGCATGGGCGGTATGCCGGGCATGGGCGGCATGGGCGGTATGCCCGGCATGCCAGCTGGCATGGACTTTTCGAAGATCCTCGGGGACCCAGAGATCATGGCTGCCATGCAGAACCCAAGGATGATGTCGGTGAGATGGAATGAAGGAGAGCAATCAGGACGAGGACGGAGAGGAAGAGGAGAAGAGAGCAACAAGGGGGGGGGGGGAGGGAAGCAAGGAGGATCAGTGGCTGACGATGACATGCAGATCATCATGGAGATGCAGCAGAATCCGATGGCCATGGGCAAGTATGCCAACGACCCCGAGGTGAGCAGGGAGCAGGAGGAAGAAGAGACGGAGAAGGATGGAAAGGAGGAGGAGGAGGAGGAAGACGGAGGAAGAGGAGGAAGAAGTGTAAATGTTCGGCAGGTAATGGAGCTCATGGGTAAGATCCAACGGGCCATGATGTAAAGACGTGGTACGATACAAGTGCCAACAAACTACCGCTAGCTGGCTATCAGGCACTTCATATGCCGATATCTTTTGAAATTTCTGGAAGCCCCAAACATCCAGTCTCCTTCTACCTTGCAAGAGTCTGATCGCGCAAGAGACGCGCATTCCTTCTTGTGTTTAGAATGCTGTACTTCAGTTGCGAATTGTGGACTTGTAAGCGTTGGTATTGAATGCAATATCGCATCTCATTATCATCTGCGTGTCGAGCATGATTCGATGACATGCACGTCAGAGACGTTAAGGTTGCACTCTTCGACTCATGAACCTGACCACTGTTAGCGCCACAGTAGACATGTTCATTCAGGGTCGGATCAACAAGAAATTTCCAATCCTTGTGGCAGAAAACAAAAAACGAAAGAAAAATACAATATCCAAAATTACACCGAGAGTATGTCAACTGCCCCTCAAGCTTTCAATGCTCATCCGACATGATCGCCCTTGGGCCGTAACTATCCATGCACTCTCATCAACACAAAGTCTCACTGACTTGTCGCTCTGCCGTGCAGGAGTCAGCGCAGCGGGAGAGGATAGCTCGCGTCTCACCCAACATTCTACCCTGCAGCCGCTCAATCTGAACCTCCACATCCCTCAGCTTCTCCTCCGTCTCGTTCAGATCTGCCACACCATCACAGAGATGTAAAGTACCATGCTGTCTCCGCCTCTTACCCTGTGCAATGTTGACATGTACAGAGGCATGCCGGCTCTCCATGTCCTCAACAACAATGCCGGCCGATGTTTCTTGCTCTTCAACTTGATCCATCCTCACATCTGCCTTCTTGTCGGACATCTCATTCTGAAGGAACGAGTCAGGTAGCACATATCAGCAGAGGCAGCAAGTTCCTCGTTGGTAGAAGACTCTTCCTCTGCGCACACCACCTGCGCCGATTGCTGTTCCCTCCACATTGTGTCGACTTCACCAACAGACACCAGAGAGCTGAGGTACCAAGTCACTTCCAAAAAGACACCTCCCGCTACTTACTTGTTCGACCGGTCGTCTTCGTCGTTGTCAGAGTCGTGCTGCGATCTGTTCTCCTCCTCTCGCCGCAGGCCTTCCTCGCTCAGTTGGATGGCCTTCATGATCAGAAACGTGGGGTATCCTACCCGCAGCCACATGATCCAGATGCAGAGGAAGAAAGTGGCAAAGGGGATGAAGATCGCGAGCTGTCTCATGTTCCAACCGTTGACGGAGGAGTCGTTGTTGTTGAAGCTCGTCGTGTTGCTCTGCGAAGACATGCGGCTAGTCTTGCGGTCACAAGCAGAGGGTCTGACTTGCTGCCAACACACGCCTACTGGTCTCTTCTTGCAGAGATCAGAATGATGGTCACCTCACTTGTCCAAGCACTCGAACATTACTTGTGCAGGGTGTGCTTGTATAGGCAAGTCAATCAATCTGATTTCATACAGATGACACTGTCATATTTTCTGGGCTCCTGCTTTGATTTCATCGTCAATTCAATCCCTGTAGATTGCTCCTGCCAAGAACTGTATTAGCTCATCTGCATTATGACAAAGCTCACAAGCACATCGATTCCAAGACAAATCTTAACGACATCTCAACTTCTGATCAGTTTATAGAAGTTTTTCCTTGATGTCTCGATTGTTGGCTCATCGCTAGGGGCTTTCTATCTGTCTTTATCAGCATGAGAGCAACAACGACTTTGAACAAGGTGCGAAAGCAGTCAACTCATTCGATCATACTAAAAGAAAAAACTGAATGTTACATGCAGCAGACGTCTTGTACAAACTGATGCATTGGAATGATTGTTTCTCATGCTTGTTTTTCCCTCATCTCTCCTCCTCCCCCCCTCATTCGTCTTCTCCTTGCTGCTCTCCCTTATATATGGCCATGGCTGCTTTGCTTTCAAGGAACCTGGTACCCCACCCTCTTCTCCTCTACAATTCCGAACTACCCCACCCTCCAAATATCGAAGAACTCCTATCTGAGCTGCGTACCACCCCCTTGTGGTCTGGTCACCACGGTCTACCCACCCCCAGATATTCCTGGATATCTCAGACTTGACCACCCCTTCATTGAGCGCATCTCAGGAACGGGATGACTACACCCACCCTATCACCGGCCTCGTTATCCCACCCCTGTTCACACCACCCCTGTCAATCCTGATCCGAGCCTCCGGACCTACCTACCGGTAAGTAGAGAAGAATCTTTGTTGACAGTACCCACCCTCTTTAAGTATTTACCACCCCTCTTGTTAGGGGTAGTCCCGGGCTGCTAGATGATACCACCCCCTGAGCTCACTACGGGCCCCATGTCGGGACACACCGAATCCATGCGCTACACGGCGCTCGCATGGTCCAACGCCAATGCCGATGGCTGCGCACTTCCTCACTCGCGACCTTGTCAGCATGTTGGCGTCATGTGACCGGACATGCATGCTTGCTTCCGTTCCTGAGTCTCGAAAGAAGAAAAACACACCAATCCCATGATGACTTCACTTCATCAGCAAGTGCCAACAGATCCAAGACCGGGGGAGCACAGAGTTGGACATGCCATCGCAGGTCTTGCAGGGACAGCACAGAGGATGAATACATTCAGAGAAACTGTGAGCATGAACTGAGAGGATGTAAGCGCAAGCGCAACGACGCTGCTCCGATCTGTTGCAGAAGTAGGTGAGACTCCATAGTGTTGTTGGTTTTCTGCTTCCTGCAGGAGACATGAATCATTTCGGCATGTTGTCCACCTCGGCGATGTCACATCAACATGCTAATGACCACTTGCAAGCTTTGTGTGAGAGTGTGTGGTATGTAAAACATCTCACGCACCAGCGCGACTGGTAGAGACAGGTGAAGGAAGCCAGATCATACAGTAGATTGCCAGGCAACATGATGTTCCAGAGTCTGAAAATGTTGGGAGATGAGTAGCATCTCGAGAGGTGTGTGTGGCTGCAATAGATGATGTTTGTGTTCAAAAGCCACTTCCTCCCCAGAAGATCTCTCGAAACTTCAATGATAATCTCCTTCACACGACCGAATAGAATACAATCGCTCAACACCACTACCTTCTCTTCATCCTTGTCGTCGTCCTACTCTTAATTTTATGGTAGTCATGATTTTGTATGGACATCTTTAAATTTTATTTTCCTCTGCTCTGTGATCTCAAGAAGAAACTTGTTACATTCTAGATCTTACCTGTGACTGTATAGCATTTGTTTCTGTAGAAGTTGAGTACTGGGACCTTTTCACTCTTCATGACGCAAGACTGTTTTCATCGTTGGAGCCGTCATCTATCTTTCTAACTCGTGATTCAACCCATCTCGCATCTGCTATTCGGCCATCTTTCAGCATACAAAGTCTGAAGCAGACAGCTATTGAAAAAGATTTCACAGCAATCTGAAGCTGATGATTCTTCGATGAGTCTTGATACTAGCATGTGTACGAATAAATGCAAGCATCTCATTTTCAAATCCCCTGTGCGCTTTCATACAGAACCAGCCTCGCATTCTGTTCTCACACTACAAAAGCATCATGGAACTATTCAACTTTTGTTATTCTCAAATCACATCTCCATACATTCACTATGCACGCCATGGAATCATCGTTTGAAACCAAGTAGAGTTAGCGCATGTTGGCAACCAACCTTCAAACACGATACGAGATGAGACATAGAAAGAAATCGTCTCAACAACAGAACTATGAGATTTCTCAAAGCCTGTGTCCTCATCTCAGGTGAAAGAGTTTCACCCAGTTTGGAGAAAAAAGTTGAACACCCATCTCACTCTGTCAATTCATGTTTTGATATATTTAAAATACTCGAATGCCATTCCATCATACAGAATTTTTCATCCTGACCTGATGGTATTAGAACAGATATGTTGCTGCTTCACTGTGAACCAGTTCATAGAAATGTGACACATGTCGTGGGTGATGTTTCGATTGAAAGCATGCCAGTGGGTGACGGCTCTTGGCCGTCAAGGTTTGAAATGCAAGTCAAAGACTACGAGGCAATCATGGTTCATCCGAATCGTTCTCCTCTTCCGGGGTATCGGCATCTCGTGCTTCCACGGGCATAAACTGCTTGATGTCATTGATCTTCTTCTCCATGATCACGTCCAGCAGCTCTGCATGGCATCGGTCCAGAACCGCCTTGGCGTCCACAACATCGGGCGGCGCGCGCAGCACCATCAACGCCTGAGAGCCCATCATGTTGAGGACCTCAAGGTTCATCTTGAGCGCCTTGTGCTGTCTCTTCAGCTCCTCGATCTTCTGCGATGGCGTCAGCCCTGTCGGCGGCCTGATCGGCTCGGGCTCCTTGCGCTTCAGCGACATTGCTAGCGGGACAGCGCCGAATAATTGCAGCGCCCGTCTCCTTCCAAGTCCACCTCAAGTTCTCTGTAGGATGTCTTTGAAAGGCAGCTATTTTTGTTTCTTGTTTTTGAGATATTTATTTGCTGTCTTTTCAAATGAAGTGAGGCAGCCTGGTAAGGTTTTCCTTGTTTTGAAACGTCTGGTTGTCAGAGTAGTGACGATGAAGCCTGATGGGAGGGAGAGGCGCAATGGCAGACGATCGAAGGAGAATGCGGGAGAGCGATCAGCAGGAGGATATCGTTTGAGCTAGCTGGACCATCCGGGATTGCTAGAGTGCAGTCATAGGTCAACATCAGAAAAGAAACCTCCCTCGCGGTGATGTCAAAAGCAAACACCAACCAAACTACAAACATTGGGGCTGGGAATGAGACTGAGTACTGGGACTTTGTGCACAGGAAGGTGGAGAGGACTGACCTGGGTCATCGGTATCCCACTTATACTTGATGGAGCGAGTTCCTGACTGCCATGGAAAGATGCAGAGAGTGTAAGCAACCGTTCGATCGGCTGGGAGACCCTCTGACGGAGCGAAGAGGAGCAAGAGTGTCATTGAGGTGGACCAAGAAGCATGCTGCAGTGCTGCCTGACGAGTGTGAATGGCAGGTATCACACCAGCTGCTTCTCAGGGTACAAGGATCCGCGATCACAGGCAACAAGAGCAGTCGAGTTGAGATGGGTGGATTGATGTATTCGCAGTCCTTGTCGTCGGCTTATGTTGGGACGCTTTCGGGCAAGGCATGCATGATTTGCGAAACACATCACTCATCATCTCAGCAGGAACTCAGTCCTCCCAAGCACCAACAAGTCGAACCCATAAGATGAGAACAGGAGAGTTTGTTCATTCCACAACTTGAAAGCTGACAGTTGAATGTTTCTCAGACTCTCATTTCAGTCTCCCGGCGCCCAAGAAATGATATGCCATGAAGAATCATATGATACAATGCATGTTCTCCTCCCTCTTGTGCGAGTGACGCTATCCCCCCAAGTTAGATTTTACGATACTTGTTGAGGACGATCAAACTGAGATGGTAGTATCGACTCATTCCAGTGTCATATGTGCTATATGTGAATACAAGGAATCTAAGCTATAGAGCACGGTCAAAGATATGGGGCAAGTGAAAAGACAGTATTGCGCAACTATGTGCACGCCCAGAACATGGGAACTGGAATAACTCCATCCTTTCCTCCTGGTGAGCAAGCCACCGCGCCCTTATACATGAATGCGCAATGCTCCTGAGAAGTGAATCTAAGGTCGAGCACATAAAAATGCAGTGAGAAACAGAGATGTCAAGATGAAGAAAAACAGAATGGGAAAGCAGCTCTACGAGCATGGCGGCAAGAAAATTCACGCGCGGATTTCTAAGTGTTAGGAAGTGGGATGACAAGACTTGAAACAAGGTTGCAGTAAGAAGTCATGCCGCTACTTAGCGAAGGCAAAGAGACAACCACAAACGCAAGAGCTCGTTCAACTCTCAGTGATGATTGTGACTAATTGAACCTTGCAAAACCAATCAAATTGTTAAGAGTGCTGGCCCATTGAAATTTGAGCATCTGGAGCTGTATCACTTACAAAACAAAATTTTGCTGTGAGCTGGTCATAGATGCCAGGATACAAGTAAAACACATGGTTTGTTCCGTTCAATCGCAGCATTCTTAATCTCTAAGTACACATCAGTAACATCACGAGGTTGGTTGGCCGTGGACGCCTCCCCATGGGGTTTTGGACTTCTCGCTGGTCTTGCCGCTCTTGGTTCGGCACTGGAGGAGAGAACGAGTCAAGACCTGCTTTTCTGAGCCCTAAGAATCACCTTTCCGTAGCTCTTGGCAAAGCGCTTCCCCTTCTTGCTGCGCATATCGCCGCGTCCTTGAACCACGGTGAGGTCATCGTTCTTGGTGCCAACAATGCTGACGGCCATCTGCCCTTCGCTGAGGAGGCAAACAGGGCCCGCTGCCTTGGTGCGCAATGACTACAGAATGGTGTCAGCGACATCGGCATGCATGCGCGGCAGCAGAAGAGGAGCAGGAGCAAAACACGAGCAAACAGAGAAAAGGAGGCCACGTGTATATCCCCTCTCCTTCGTATGAGACAAGCGGGGGCCAACGCGCGCAGAGGGGTCATGATCACAGCAGCGCTGGTGTCTACCTGAGCACGAGGAAGAGCCGGGGCTGCAAGGAATGCGGACACGGAGGCCGCAGCCGTGAGGAGGAGAAGTCGACGGAGCATTGCGATGGATGAACCGGCCTCCTGCTCTCCCCGGCTTTATATCAGCGGTTGGGCCGCGGGGAGCTGCCATGGAACATGGGGAGCAAGCATGCTCACTTTTGCATTGCGACCGTTACCTAAGCCGTTACCTTCTCTCACTGACTCAGTGGACCGCCGGGCCGGGCCCGGCGTGACCGTCGGACTCTGCCCGGCCAGTGACTTGCAGTGAAAGGCTTAGGCTGACTGAGCCGTGTTGAAGTTCCCAGTAACCTTCTCTCCACAGACGGTGACACAGTCACAGTACTAGCAGTGACACCCGAAGTAGACACTGAGTGATCCGATGATCGGATAGCACCGCCGTCACGGACTGCAAGTTTCTGTAGCAGTGGTAATAGTTATCACGAATGGCCGCGCAGGAATGATATCAGGATACAGAGAACAAACGGAGGTGATAAGAGATTGGTATAGATGGTCAAGCTTGTTTACTTCAAGCAATCCAGTCTCACAGAGACCATACACCTCGTTCTCCTTTCCGGGCCTGTCCTGCCAATGCGGCGGCGTGCGGCCCTTCTTCCTCTTCCTCGGTCCCTAAAATAGGGACTGCTTGGTCCTAGGAACTACCACTACCGGTACTCTACGCTTCTTATCTGCGATATGATTCTTCTACCGGTCCGAGGCCTGGTTCCGTACCTGGAGGGTTCCGGGAGTCCCTGAGAAAGAGTCATAGGCTTGACATGACGAGGTCTTCGATTCTCCGAGGAGGCTCATCCAATGCTCTCTGTGAAGTTGATATAGCTGCTCCCTTGACCTTGACAGGTCCTGTGTCTCCGTAGGAGCATGCTTCTAGGGGGGTCTCGTGCATCCCTTGTAAGTCCTCCGCTAAGATGATCATGATAGTACTGTCTTCTTTGATCAGACCCCTTGTTCTCCCATGTCCATGACTTCAGGGGTGATACTTCCAATCTCCCCTTGAGCGTAGCCATATCCTGCCACCGTGTCATCTGCTGTCCTGTCGTGGACTGATATAAGCTGACTCGCTTATCTCCTGCTGCCATCCACGAGTCCTAGGTTCTTGCTGTCTTCTTCATGATTCTCCTACGTCGTCCTTATTGTAGCTGTTGCTGTCCTCCTCGGGGATGCATTCCGAGGCTCTAAGCATCTGTGCACTTGAGCCACGTCGATTGCTTGGCATTGTCTGAGGTGAAGCTTCCTCCTATCAGGTGCTTCAACACCCTCCCTTGGCTCTTGTGTGCCGATGCCAGCATTGTTGCTTTGCCGCGCCTCCATTGACGGTGTCAGGCTTGTCAAATTTGACTATGCCTTTCAAATGACCTGCTGCGGTTGACTCTTCGCGCGTCGTCGCCGCAGTATTCCCTCCCTTGCCTAGAGTAGGCGGGAGCTGTTGCTTGACAGCAAGGTGGGCTCATGCTTGGTCTCTGGTCGTCTGCCTTGAAGCTGTATGGTTGCTCATCATGAGTCAGACTTGATATTCCTTTTTCCATAAGCGATCAGCCTCTTGACTTGACTTTCGCAGTAGGGCTGTGCATGGTACTGAAAGGTTCTCCTCAGCGCCCATCAGCACTGATGTGCCTGGCGACTTGGGACCTCCTTGATTTCTGCAGCATCATTTCATAACTTCGATCGAAGGTATGTCTTCATCGTCTGCTTCTTCGTCTTGCGAAGGCTTGGCGCTTCAAGCTGCCTTTCATTTCTTCAACTCTGCTGTAGCCTGTTGGTTCGTGTCATCATATCGCTATCGTGAGATCGTGGCATGCAATGAGGCTTTGGGACGTCTCCCTTCCTCGGTCTTCACAACTTGGCCAACCTTCAAGCTTTCATCTGCCGTGCTCTGCTTGCCGCTTTCAATCTTCGCGGTGCTTGACCAGTGGAATCATGAGGTAATTCCTCTCCTCACTGTTGGCCACGTACAGGCTTTGAGGTTGGATTGAAAACAGCTCTTGTCACTTTTGACATTCAGAGCGACTTTGATCAGGACTGATCCCTCCATCATCGAGATCAAGTTTCTCGCTGTCATGTCACCCCTCAGCTTCTTTGCCACACTCATCATCATGGTGGGAGAGCTGTCTTGTGGCCTCGTCGTCATCTTGTGCGACTCCTGGCTCTGCTTGGGGGATCCCTGTGACTCGTCCATGTCACTTGACATAGGGATGATGCGAGGCTCGATGCTGATGTCATCATCAGATGTTCTCAGAGGTTCAGCCTGTCATGAAGTTCAGTATTCAGGTATGATAGTGAAAAGATATGATATTCCCTGATTTTGATTGTTCATTTAGTGAACCCTCCCTGACTGTCTCTGGTGTCGAACAGATGACCTCAGGCTGAAGTGGGTCCCCTGTGACTTCGCATCGTCCATCTCCCTCCCTGACGAGGTACAGGGAGCTTGGCTAGCTTGACAAGGTCTTGCATGAAGCAGCGGCGTAATGATGGTCAAACGGAGACCTGAGACATGTCGTTGCCGAACAAGAACGATGCTAGCTGACGAATTTTGGAGACTGGGCAGATCTTGGTGAGAATGTCCGCAGGGTTGTATGTAGTAGCAATCTTCACAGCGATGATTTCGTTTTCATCCACCATCTGAAGAGTGAACCGATGTCGAATTGCAATATGCTTAAGCTTCGAAAATGCGCGACGGTCCCTCAGCAGATGGATGACCGCTGCGTTATCAACGAGAATGATCGTTGGGTCACGCTGTACAAACCCCAGCAAATTGCAGAAGGTCGTCAGCTTATCGAGTACGGAAGCCGACTCGGTTGCCGTCGCTGGCCCCGCCGCCCACTGAACTTCGGAAGGCCACTCAGTGCCGGGTGACCGGGGGCCGGGCGCGCCCGCCGGCGCGGCGGGCAGCCTCAGTGCCGCTGTGCGCGGCGGCACTGCCGCACAGGCACTGGCAACCGTTGTTCCGAAAGGCCCGGCGCGCTTGAAGTTCAACTCCAACTTTTTACTCAAAGTTCAGTTAAAAATCAGTACGAGGACAATCAGGACGGAGAGTCAAACCGTTGCCAGGGCGCGGCCTTTCGGACGACTCACACGGTGTCACGGTGGCCTCGGAGCCTCGGAGTCGGGATGGGGTAGTACGGCCGCCGGCCGCAGCGGGCGGGCCCATCATAGTACAGTTTTGAAGTTGATAACTTGCCAAGTTGGCCTTCGGGGTGCCACGGCGAACAGACCAGTCCTATTTTGAAGGTTTTTTTTGTGTACTGCGGCTGGGCGCCTGGGGCACTGAAATAACTCCTTTTCGAGCTCCTTTTTTTTGCCTCCTGTGTCAAAGGAGTCCGTTTCAGGGCCCATCGAAGCAAAGAACCAGTTCTGGACGATACGATGTGAGATCGCGTCGTTCCGATTTCCCTGCTACTCGCTATAAAAGGGCGCCACTGCTTGTTGCACCGTCACCCCATCAACTTCGCTCCCTTCCCCCGCTCTCCACGTTCCTTCAGACGTCCACTCACAACAGCTCCAACAATCTGCATCCTCCGATGACCTACACCATGCAAGACCGAACCAGCACCGATGCCTTCTCGTTCCCTTCCTTCGCTCATGCAAAGGACGATGCAAGGCGGGAGGTTTACCAAGTGCCCATCCAGGCAGCTCTGGCTGATCGCGCAAACAAGGAGCTCAATGACCCATGCCAGGTCCAGCTCTCCTCTCGCAAGCTCTTCTACTCCCGTATCTTCGGGCTCAAGTGAACGGAGTCAGAGCAAGTTTAGCTCGAGCAATGCACATGTAATAATAAAGGTTCACATGAAAGCCTCAAAGTTCGTTTCGCACAATGGTCTCGCTTGGAAGGGGGGGTGATGGAATGCCGGAGAAATCAGGGAGTAAGGAGCCATGCTAGGAAATGACTGAGAAGAGTAGCGAGAAGAGCACCGACTAGAGCACAAGCTACTTGTATAACACATGAGAACCCAGGCATCAAGCATCACCTTGAATGCAGACAAATTCATTCTTATGTTGATAGACCTGCATGCATACGGGTAAGTGTCGAAGAAGCTGGCATCAAGGATGCTGTAATGATGCCATGATTGTCTTCGTTACACGTGATCTGACTGGATTTCTGCAAGGAGGCCCGACGCGAGGTTGGTGACATCATCGGTACATCAATTTCAAGCTGCAGAGCTCCCAACAGAGACATAGAGACATAGTTCGAGTCTTAGCATTGCAATATCGTAGCATGTTTCCGACTCTCTGCAAGTGCAGCAATATATACACCCATTCGCCGCTATATTTGCGTTTCATCTCTTCCTTCGTAGCATGGTCGAGGTGTTCATATAAATGATCCAATGATCATTAACTAGACTTTGTAAGTGAGTACACAATCAATCTGACCAAATACGAATTCTTGCTTTTCGAATAACGACAGCTTTATTGAGCAGATGCATATCATTACGCTTTCATCACAAGTTAGTTTGGTCGCTTGTCATGCTCATGCTTCATGTCAAAGTAGTCCGCACGATAGTCATTGTAGATTTAAAACCAACCACCATTATTGCCACAATGTTCCTCCTCGTCATCTTCTAGATTGTAACTGTCTTCCTTCTGCTTGTGGCCTAAATCATCCCTACTCCACCTTCCCCTGCTCCTGCCCGTTGCCCCTGGCTCTATCACTGCTCCTGCTCCTGCCCCTTGCTCTTGCTTTGTAACATTGCTGCTGCTACTGCTGCCGCTGCCGCTACTCTCGTCCCTCTCATCTTCCGCACTATCATCATAACCATAGATCATTATCATCTCTATGATGATCACCAAACCTATCAACATGACGATGGTCATTTACAACCACGGCATCATCAACACCAACACGAGCACCTCGATCATCACGACCACGATTATAGTCATCATCATCACTCACAATCAGTAGGTAATCACAAGGACAAGGGTCCTTATGCCGTGTTTTCCAGCTCCTCTTTATGATCGATCGTTTCATTTTCTTGTCTTCAAAGTTTCAACTGCCCTTCCTCCAGCTAACGTTCGACACTTATCTCGGCCTGACTCCCCCAAACCATAGGAATCTTTGTTTTCATCATCGTCAAAATCCACGAGCATCTGTCGTGTCATGGAATAACAACATTGAATTGGATAAGATTGAAATGATCAAAATCACCATCGACGCATCCCCGCCATCGACTTCATGGTTATCGTTCAATCTCATCCTGCTGATGCTCTTGCTCTTACTTCTGCCTGCAGCAGCTGCTGCAGCTGCAGCTGCCGCCACCACCGCCGCCGCCACCGGCCCCGTTTCTGTTGCTCTTGCTCTTGCTCTTGCTCTTGCTGCCCTGTCCCTGCTACTTTTGTTCTTACTCTTGCTGCTCCTGCTCCTCTCCTCCTCTTGCTGCTGCTGCTGCTGCTCCTCCTCCTCCTCCTCCTCCTCTCCTACTCTTCCACCGCCACCGCCACCGCCACCGCCACTTCCTCCCTTCGCTCCTGCTTCTCATTCTTAACCAGGTAGATGGAAAACTTGGTGGGTGGTGAAATGATTGAGCGGGGGTAGTCAATCTGAAAATGTTTTGGTAAACAATGGTGGGGGGTACTAAAACTGCATGGTGTGAAGGTCATGCAAATTTATTGATGTATCAAATATTGAATTGCTGTACCATGAGCCTTAAATTCAAATACCAAAAATAATGAAGGGTAGTGTAAACATGAGGTGATATCTCCATAGGGGTACATCAGTACTGCGGTGGGGTTATGGGACCGATAAGGGGGTGGGTACACCGTTGGATGCGCGGCAATGGCGAAATGGGCCAAACGATAGAAGGAGAAGGATGATATGACAATGGCGTGAAGACTGCGACGATAACAACACAGGATGTGAAAGTGCAGAAACAAGAAGACGTCTGCATTCCTGCATGATGAGGATGGGCATGAGTCTGAGGAGCAGGAGAAGGTCAAGGAGCAGGACTAGGAGGGAGGAAAGAAGCAAGAGTAGGAATAGAGTTGGTGGGGAGTGCGGAAGGGCGGGGGAAGCCAAAATGGCTCAGCGAGGAATGAATATGAGAGTTTGTAGAGATAAAAGAAGATGCTGAGTCAATGCCAAGAGTATCCAAGAGAGAAAACGGCATTATCAAAATGCGGCAATCGAGGGTTAGAACATTCAACATAGAATCGATTCGTATCGATCTGACCCCCGCGTGTTCTCGTGTTTTGACTATCTGCTTCATTTCGTGTCTCCTCGTTTTATTGGCGACCCGCAATGTCGCGCATTGGCTACATTTGGGTTTTTACTATGCCTGACTAGTCACATTTCAGAGTGAAAGCGGCAAGTTTGTATATGAAAGTAATCATCACCGGCACTTCTCGATGAAGACAAAGGACTCGGTAAGCACAGTCGTCTGGAACCATCCTCTCTTTGTATCACCATGCTTGTAGCCTTCTTGCATAGTATGATAGTTGCGATGTGTCACATGTTGTTTCATCAAATCTTTGATTCTCATTGCACACCATTCGTGTCATGCACCAGCTTTCTTGTCTTGGTGAAAGATCATCATTCTCCAAGACATCTTCAGCCTCTACTCGATGAATGAATGTAAGTGCATCTTCGCAGGACCCGACGGCCAACGACGCTGCACTGGCTGCGGCGCTTGCAGAGGTGTCTCCACGTGATATCAGGAGCAGGTCATGACAGCATGATATGCAGTGGGACTCAGGCGTGAGGAGGAGACGCGGAGGAGAGGCTGGGGGGCCTGCAGCATTGAGCGTTTCCACCGATCAAGGGACGCCTGGTGGGGGAGAGCTCTCTGACAAGAAGAGGAGGAGGTGCAATAGGAGGCGGTCAGGGGCCTGTCAGGCTTCTGATGCTGCGCACGACAGGCAGGAGAACTCTGGCTTCGACTCACCGAGCACAGACAAGGAACGCAAGCTGAAAAGAAAGTGAGATCGGCGCTGCTGGTCCTCTGCCGGAGTCGTTGACTATGCCTAGGAATGCGAATGACGCGGAAGAGAATTCGGAAGAGCCAGATAAGAAGCAGAAGGTGATATTGGCGCGCACTTAGAGCTTGAAGTGAGTACGTTGATCTTGCTTCTAGACCGAAGACGTCGCTCCGAAGTCGGAGCCTGCGGAAAGCAGCACCAAGTCAGCAAAGTCGGTCAAAGTCACGTCAGAGAAGGAGGAGAAGAAAGTATCAGAGGACGGCCTGTCTGGCCCAGCTGACTTGCTGTGGCAGATCGAGACTGGAGAGTCAACGCCGTCGAGGAAGGCAGGCAGCGCCGAGCCAACCAAGCACGAAGGGAAGCAAACCCCCAGGCCCTCGAATGACAACGATGAAAACACAACCAAGTCGTCAAAGAAAGACCCGACGACGAACCATGACAAGTAAGCTTCCCTGCTGTTCCTTCTTGCCTGCTGTTCCTTCTTGCCTGCTGTTCCTTCTTACCTGCCTTTTCCTTATCCCTCCCTCCCTCTCCTCCCCCTCCCTCCCTGTTTTTGACTCTCCGTCTGACGGCGCGTCCAGGAAGCACAAGGAGGAGGCGACTCGCGCTGGCCCCAACAAGACGCTGAGACTCAAGGTCGACGAGGCGGAGGAGCAGGAGGACGCGAGGGCTCCAGAGAAGAACGAGCCCGCCTCAAGAAACAACTCGAGGGGGTCGAGCAAGGCAACGACCCCGATGCCTGTGGATTCTCCGGTTGAGACTAGCGAGGGAGGAGGAGGAGGAGCGGGAGGGGTGGGAGGCCCAGGAGGCGGAGCAGCAACACCAGCAGCAGCAGCAACACCAGTAGCAGGAGCAGGAGCAGCATCGGCAGCAGCAGCTGCTGGGGATGCGGATAAGAGCGGCACGGGAGAGAGCGCGAGCGGGAAGAAGGAGAAGAAGTCAGCGGAGAAGAAGGAAGGAGCGATGAAGCAGAAGAAGGGAGAGGCCCGTTCTCTCGTGGAGGATCTGCCGCCTGGTTTCCTCAAAGGTGAGAGGAGATGGAGGAAGAGGTTGCCAAGGGGAGGCGGGAAGGGAAGGAGAGGGGACAGGGCAGGGCAGGGCAGGGCAGGGCAGGGCAGGGCAGGGCAGGGCAGGGCAGGGAATGGATGAGAAGTTGAGGCAATGCGAGGTTCTGGGAAGAGATCGAGAAGAGAAGAATGAGGGTTGCTGAATGCTCGACGTGCAGGAGAGCTGGCTGAGCATTCTGTTGGCTCCCCGGCATCGGAGGTGAGGAGGATCGAAGTCTCGTCTGCACTTCCCTGCTCTCTGCTCCTTCACTCTCCTCGTTTGTCTTCGGCTCACCTCCTCTTTGCTCTGCTCTCTTGCTCTCCTCGCTTCCTCCTTTCCATCTCTCCTCATGCGTTGTAGCTAGATTGTAATCTCTTTCATCCCTCCCTCCCTCCCTCCCTCCCTCTTACTTCTTATGCTTGTCCGCGCAGGTCAAGAAGAACGAGGAGGAGGAAGAGGAAGAGGAAGAGGAGATCTCGAAACCAACACTGAGGTCCCGAGCACCGAAAGTTCAAGCTGAGCAACCAGCTCCAACTGTTCAAGTGACGACGGCAGGGGTCGCACAAACAGGAGGGGTGGGGGAGGCAGGCGGAGCGACGCCAGCCCAGCAGGGCCCGGGCAGTGGCAAGGGAGGAGGAAAGAAAGGGAAAAGTGAGGAGGGAGCGCCGAAGAAGCCGAAGAAGGACAAGAAGGGGAAGACGGCACAGTCTGGTGACCTCCTCCTCCTCATCCTCCTCCTCCTCATCCTCCTCCTCCTCCTCCTCCTCCTCCTCCTGATGATGATGATGATGATCATGATCATGATGATGCTCTTGCTCCTGGTCCTGCTGCTCTTGCTCTTGCTCTTGCTCTTTCTCCTGCTCCTGCTGTCAGCATCATTGCCAACTTCATGTCACCAACATTTTGCTTTTATCTTCTCTATTGCTTTGTTCTTTCCCTTTCTTAGATTATTTTCCTCTTTTCTTTTAATGTCTGTCCTGCTTCAGGGGCTCGCGAACCTTCTCCTCCTGGAGAGGAGTTGAAAAAGGTGAGACGAAAATGAAGCACTCGTCATCGTCATCGTCCTCCTCACGCTCCTCCTCCTCCCGCTCCTCCTCCTCCCGCTCCAACACGACCACCATCACCACTACCTCCACCCCTTCCTCCTGCTCCTTCTTTTGCTTCTGCTTCTTCCTCCTCTCTGTGTATCGGGAGCTCGAATTGCATCTCTCAATATCGTTTCTCTTCATTCTGTTCCCTTTCATGTTCTAGTTGTTCCTCTTCTCAACCTGAAAGCCGTACGACAGGGGCACGAGGATTGGCTTTCGAAAGGAGCATTTGTCGAGGTACCTTTATCTCCTCCTCCCCCTCCCCCTCCTCCTCCTCCCCCTCCCCCTCCTCCTCCTCCTCTGCCTCCTCCTCCTCCACCACCTCCTTCTTGCTCCTTCTCTTGCTCGCCTTCTCTTGCTCTTTCCTCTGCCCGTTTCCTCTTTCTCTTGATGTCC